GGGGGGGGGGGTTTTATAAGGGAAAGAATTGAGGTTGGATCGAGGGTTTTATGTATTGTTGTGAAATACCTGATATAGGGATGGAGTGGTCGTTACTCTGTATATACTGTTCTTAAAATTAAATCTTTCTAAAAGCGTTGGATAATTAAATACTTAGGTAAAGAGGTTAGAATGAATGTTACTGTTTATTTTTTTTAAGTTGGGTATTTTGATATTATTTTTTGAGGTGTGAGAAGGTTGGTATAATAGTTTTTTAAAGGGTATGTAGAGTAGGTAGTAACTAGTTAGTATTTACTAAGAACCATTTTACGTCCCCTGGAATATAGAAGATAGTAGATATTCCTTGGTGAGACGAATACCGCACTTGCTTTACGTATACTTCTTTTCTTTTAGGGGACTAAAGGGTAATGTAGGAGTGTTGTAACCGTTCCTTGTGCTATGTCTAATAACTTAGAGAAGGGAAGGTACTATAGCTAGTAAGCTAGTCTAAAAGGTCAAGGTGACTCGAGTATATGCCGTATTTCAGGTTACATGGAGATAGCATCAGGTATTGTCGTGATCATCACTTAGCAATTTGCTCTCTATATTCTATATTTCTTACTATAATACTAACACGTTCTAATATCTTTAGTATCAGCTGTCACTAGCATAGTTGAACTGATGGTGAACAGGAGGTTTATGTTTGCCACCTACGCCGTCTAGAGGTTTGCGGTTAACTAAAATTAAACCAGGTGTTACATAGCTTTATAAAAGAGCTTAGCTACTCATCTTAACCCCGGAAGTAGTATTCTACGTTATCTCTATATAAGTATTATTCGTAACTCTTTTTTCTAGTGAAGTGCTCTGAAACAAGCGTTGAAATCAAGAATATCTGCCACATTCATGTTTCACAAAATGAATATTGGTGGGAATGTAATGGATATTCTTGAATGACATGGTTATTACTCTTTATGTACCTATCTAACAATATCTTTTATCTAGAGGCTTTGTTTAACTTGAATAGTTATATAAAGAGTTAATTTGATCGTTTAGATTTGGTTTAAATACTTGTACAAAAGGTTTTGTAGAATAATCATTTCTGGTGTGTGAGAGAGACGGGTATTACTCTCTATACACCTAAGTTATAAAAATATTGTCCTAAAGATCTCACACAACTAAATCAATTACTACAATTATACAAATAGTTTAAAACACGTAATACTTTTCACTCCTTATTAACTAAGGTAAATTATGACCTTTAACTAAGTTGTACTAGACTTTTAGTATGATAACTTTTAATAGCGTATATAGAGCAATTACCAGGTTTCTTAAAGAATAGGACCAGGTATCTCATATTATGAAGCTGATGATCGAGGTGGATGCGAAAGTTATTCTATGACTCGATCATTTGTAGTTCTCCTGTTTGAGTAATCTTGGGAGAACATGACTACTCAAGTGATTTGCTTGAAGTGCTCAGACTGATCAAACATAACAAAAGTCAAGCATGATGGAAGACTCAATAAATGGTTGTTATTAGCTGCTTCAAATGACTGGATTAAGCAGGAGAAATGGCTCTGATTCTATTGTACTTTGCTCATTAAAGTCTGAATCAGGGTAGCATAATCAGAACGATGTGATTCAACAATCATCAATTGAGTAATTTGTGAATCCAACAGTTCGAGTTCAGATCGGAAATTTCTTGTGAGATACGTATATAATCCTCATATCTCATACTTGATCAACTCCATCTTCTCATTACCACATCAAGAGGTACAGTACAATTTTGCAACCCGAATAATCCTCAGCTTCAAAATAACCACCACAACTTCACAACTCACAAAAGCCTCAAGATGCGTACAGACGCCAATGAACCAGTTATCGTCTACAACCCAGTGACCAAAGAGTTCACCGGCAAAGCGTACAAAGATATTGGTATGTTTGCAATTTAGTCTCCAAGGTTACCCTTTACTAACATGCACCCTAAAGAGGACCCGTATCACTACAAGCGATTGGAACTATCCCTCAACCAGCGACAAATAAATATCTATTGCGATAACAGCACACTTTCGCTTCAAAGTACTACCGGAGGCTTTGAAGCTCGCTTGGACTTGAACACCATGACAGGTGGATACCAGAACGAGGCAAAGTACCTGTTCGTACCTGTATGGGTTTCACCGCTCTAGGGAGCTTTCAGGATGAATGGTGGTCGTAGTATAAGTTGATGAGTGTTCTGGGGTGGCTGATAATAGATAGACGAATAGAAGATTATTGATTCACACCAAACTTCGAGAGATCAAATATGCATTCAAAGAGCTCCAAGTAAAACATGTATATAAGCCTCTCCCTTCGCCCTCTTTCAACTGCAGCTTCCTCCCACGAACAAACCACATCAACGATTCAATTTTTGCAACTCAAACACATCAACAACATCGACCCCCCTCACTCAACACATACTGCACGTTTCTCAAAATGCGTGACCTCCCCGTCATAGGCGAACCCATAGGTATTTGTGATTGCTCAGACAAGAAGTTTAAGATCACCACATTAGACAAAATGAGTAACTTTCGCCCCACCTTTTACACGCCTGCACAAAGTATGTATCACTAACAATATAATCCAAGAAAACCGAGACGAATACCAGCTACTAAAATTACCCGACCGCACCCGGAAAATCAGAATCTATCGCAAAGGTACTACCTATTCGTTCAAGGGTAATATTATGGAGTATTTCGCTACGTTCGATGCGAGGCAGGCGATTGTATTTTACGGATATGTGTTGATGCCTAAATGGATACCGGCAAAGGAGACTCGGTGTGTTGTACAATAAATTGGTGTGCTATACTGTAGGGCCTATTATTGTGGGTAAATGAATTAGAGACAAGTGATTAATAGAACAACGTCCAACAAATACATGTTGATCTGACTCATAGCGCCCTGAAAAAAGGCCGTATATATGACCCTCGTATCCCGCGTGCTTTTCATGGCCTATCCCAGAAGAAACAAATCTCAAAAGCTAAGTAAACAAACACACTTTGCATACTTATAAGAATGAGTACCGACGCCAAAGAAGATGTGATCCTCTGGGGCGCACGTGGAGACCGAAATCCTAGGGTCTGCAAATACGAATGCATAGGTATGGCCTCCAATACTGATGTCGTCCTCCCGCATTGTTATATATTGCTAACCTAAAAGTCCAAGATAAACCCTTCGAATTCCAAAGACTGGTCTTACCCACAACCTCCGGCAAGCGTGAAAAGGTCGATATTTACTACCACGAGTCTACTTACTCGCTTCAAGGCAATAGCGAAACATCTGTCGCTTCCTTGGACCTTAGCAGAATGGGAGGTTACTAAAGGTATTTGTTCGTGCATAAGGAGACGGCACCACAATCTAGGCGGGAGAGGGATAGGGATAGGCATGCTTGGGAGGAGAGAATAGCGGACTATAAACGAAGATCTAAGAAAGATAATGAAGATCTGATTCGTCGAAGAGCAAGAGTCGAGACGGAGCGGAAGGCCTACAAGAAGAGTGGCTGTATAATACTTTGAAGATATAGAAAGCATTTAGACTATCACACTACCACACGTTCAAATGATTATGTAATACTGTTGATTCATTCACGAACCCTCAGTGAAACAAAAATAAGGGAAGTGGTCCTTACTCGGTACATATCTGGCATAGAATATGAGTTTTTCAAAAATATCTAGCAATATAAAGAGTTTAGAATAATTCTTTATTCTCACTTTTTATTGATCTAGATTATAATAGTTAGATCACCTATGCTAGAACTTTAGTAGAATACATTCACATAGTTTCTATATGTAGAGTGATATACGGGTATCTTACCCACCTATTTCGCTAAGATTTCAATCACCAAGGGAGGTGGGTAACACAAATATTTTTGTGTGAATGATCTTCTGCGGTAATCTCAGTTAAATATATGTCTTTTATTTTAGTTGATTGCAGGCCATATAATAATAAGGCACGTTGTTTTATTTGTACTCATAGAAAGATTATGTATGTTTTTTTTTTCATTTCACTTAGAGGCTAGTAAGAGATATAGTCGTTACTCTATACACACTATACAAAGATCTATTATACTGATCTTATAGTACAAGCAAAATAATTGTCTTAGGATACCTAGGCTAATAAGAAGTAAGAGTTAATAATTGTTCCAAGCTCTTTATAGGACTATTTTAGTTGTACGGCGCTTTTAGAATAATTTAATTTTAAGAGAGGTGTGTATAGAGTAACGACCAGGTATCTTACAGTAGCGTTCAAAGCAGAGTGTGCCTAAAGAAATCTTCAAAAGTGCACTTGAACTAACTAGGGATGATGTTATATTTTTTTTCACAGGACTCTGCGAATAGAACTATTACTTAAAAGTTGTAATTTGTATTGTTCATCTGCCCTGCAGTTGACTTAAGAAGTTTGATGATTATATTAAGGCTTCTCAAAAGCGTTCTAGCCTCGACCTCACATCCTGCAGTCCAAAATCCCGCAAAGTTCTTATTAGAATTCACACCTACTCTCCTAAGATTGTGTTTCTTTCAACCATGCATTATTCCTTTTGATTCCCGTTTCCCATTTCTTAACTCTTTCCGTCCACGCAGCTCGTACCCCTTCAACTTCACCTTTCTTAACCGAGTCGTTGTCAGCGCAAGGTGACCTCAAAAGCAAGATCTTTGGCCATGTACCCGTAGGGATCTTCGAATTCTGCGTCAAAAAGTTCAAATGCACAGTGGTAATATAGTGAGAGCCATCGTCTTCAATGAACACCAGGAAGAATCTGCTAGTCTCAAGAGTTGCGCCAGGGTAAAAGTACAGGCGAACTCCTTGAGGATCCTAGTATGCGTCAACGGCTTAGGTGATCAGAGGAGGAAGAGAAAGAGGAGAACTTACCGCCACGACCTAGGAAACGAATGGAGTATCCTGACTCTACCCAGAGCCACACCAGGAGCGAAGGAGCGAGTGAATGGAAACAATTGTTAGCAAGTATTTTAATCACTGCCAAGTAGAAATTCAAGCCAAAGGTCAAGTCGGACAAATATGAAGCCGGGTCTTTCTACCTAAGAGTGAATTAACGCACCCAGAGAAGACGCTCTCCTTCAAGGCCAGAAAGAAGCATGACTTTACCTAACGAAAATCTACTCCTAAGTCTTCTCATGGCTTAGCGGTAAGATCCCTACAATACTACATTAGCGCTCTCATATCTGCAGATCGGAGAGACGGGCCCCTCTCCTGCAAAGGATGATGCTCTAAGCGCGCTCATAATAACCATAGGTACAATGATTTAGCTGAGCCTCTACCTAGGTATTCAGCAGCTGGGGGGTTGCAATCCTCTATTAATTCTTTTTTGCCCTTTTTTTTGTTGTTGTTTTTGCCAAGGGTTCGCTACCCCACTTTCGCTTACGATTCACCCAACTTGGCCACCTGCACCGTGTGTATGTATGATACCTATGTAGTACTCCTAAAATCTATGGTGGGCTGGTTACTATTATACTATACTACCTGACAAGTAATTTCAAAGACTCGAGCTTCGCGTCTTGTTACAAGGGATTCAAAGGTTACGTCACTGATGTTTAATTTGGGAAAATATCATGTTGTAGTAGTGTAGTAGCGAAGTCTTATCATTCCTTTGTGACTAAATAACTAGTGAGTTCCTTCCTGAGCGAAAGCAAGATAGCCACTCCCCAGCTTCAATCCACTGTTGTGTCTTCAGGACCTCTAAAGGTGAAATTACTTCTTTTTGTCATTCGCTATTCATCCGCCAAATGTTAGGACATGACTATCGATAGTAACAGAATTCTGGGAAGACTTACCGTAGGCAAATTCACTCATGCCAGGATCCTAGTCTAACGAGGTCAAAATTTTAAGTTCTGAACTGGATACCAGACAAATAACATCATATATGTCGACACTGACCATTCGCCAGAATCTGTGCGACGTTTCCAATCGTCGAAGACAACCCCAGCCTTCGTACCCGGATCAGCTCTTACCGCGGTCTTCGAGCCCGAACTTCCTACACCGTATTGGATTCGAAGTGGTGGTTGTGCCAACAACATCTTTCTCCAGGTAGCGTTGGGGTATAGAAAGCTTCCTTTCGTCGCCGCTTTCTTCCAGCAGAGATAATAGGCAATGCATGAACCTTTACTGCAAAACGCGCGTCTATCGAATTTTTGTACCAAAGGTGATACCGACTTGTTCTCAAATCGCCCTTCGCTTTCTGGCATGAAATAGAGCTTTTTCTGGATGGCAGGGTCGTTGTCAATGACTGCTTTTCAGTAATGGTTTATGCGCAGGCAGTTGGTGAGAAGGTCGGGGAAGTCGAGGTTATGAAGAATCTTGGAGAGGATTTCTGGAGTGGATAGTGCTCTGGTCGCCGCAGCAGTGGGAAGGCCGTTGTCGCCGTCATTGATTAAGGGACTGGGAGCTTCTCCATGATTTTTCGGTGTTTCGGGCATCTTGGATAATGTTCGTCAGATAGTGTGATGGATGGCAGATGGTTGATGTCGGGTTTGACTGATGGTTGATGTTTTGTTGTGGGTGACGTGGATGAGAGAAAGTGCTTATGGTTGTAGCAAGCTGTTGGGCGGGTAGAAATATACGTCAAGGGCGTCATTTATAGCTAGGCTATCAAAACAAGGATTCACGTTGGGTTGGTGAATGTATAGCTTTCTGGCTGTGAATGTGCGGTTGAAACCACGCACTACTAAAGTAAGACTCAAGGACTTTGCGAGCACCTAGGTACAGTAAAGCACGGTTGAACAGCATTCGGCAACTAGAATTCCATTCCATTCTAAAGCCTCTCTACAGAATATTCCATTCCATTTTATATAAGGTCTAGAATATTCTAATTTTAGACTATAGAATGTAGAATTCTACTCAAGAATTTTAAGATTAATCTATTACTATGGCACGTCTCTAGAACGAGTACAAATCTCGGTATTATTTGTTAGCTCTCTAGTACAACGTTTAACTCAATTTCCCTTCGCAATTAGGGTATTATATCTGAGGATATTTCAAACTTTTAAAAAGATACTAAATTAATACTGTATTATACTTGAAATAAGACTCTAGAATTCCAAATTCCAGAGCTTTACAGTACCAACTAGAATATTCTATTTCTTTGAAGGAACGCTAGAATATTTATTCCACGATAGAATAGAATTTGGGAATTCTATGCAACCAGGTTCCATTTGCCGAACGTTGAGGTTGAAACCTACTTGAGTAGAATAGAGTAGGTGCCAATACTGTACTCATTTCTTACGCTGTTAATTTGCTCTTCAGACATGAGTGAGAAAGAGCTTGTTCCAAGTTTTCACTATTGCCTATACTCCGAAGGTTGATCGGGAGTCTCATGGTAGTGATTAATGTCCTTTAATACGCTGACAATGAATTATCATATAGAGCATATTGCTTGAGCATCCAAAGTTCTGTAAGTCCCTAATGAATAAATTTGGTCGGTGAACCAAAGTTCAATACCGCTCTCCTAGTCTACTAAGTTTAACCAGAACCGCACGCCAGGACACATAATCTTTAGCTACGTCCTCTTTCCCAAAGAATCAGAACGATACGACAAAAATGAATTCTTCAACTTCAAGTCAAGAAACTGTAATACCAATACTACTAATTGGCCCTCCAAATCCCATCTAAGACCCCACAACAATACCATACTTCCCATACGGAAAATCCTCCAAATTAACCCTCTGTTCCGCCCACCCATCCCCAATCTCCCCTTTCACACCATCCCCCTCCCCCTCCGCAAGACCCGCAAGAACCTCCCCCTCCTTCCCCATCAACTCCCCCGCCAGACCCAAATGCGGCACCCAAACAACCCTCATCCCCGCTCTTCTACCAGCCACCACCCCCGGAACCCCATCTTCAAAAACCAAACACTCTTCAGGTCGGATCTTTGGCTCTCCCTCTGGTAGACTATCATTGATAGTCTGGAGGGCAACAAGATAAATATCCGGATTCGGTTTGCCTCTCCCCTTGGGTATACGAGTATCATCACCCAGAACCCTATTCCGCTCTTCAAACACAGCAAATAGGTCCTTCAAATGTGCCGTTTTAATCTCAATATGGTGTTTATGGCTACTCGTCGCAAGCGCGATCTTCATCCCAGCGACTTTCAGGTCTTTCAAAAGCTTTTCCACGCCTGGCAAGGGGATACTCTTTTTGAACTCCTCTTCTTGGACCACGTGCAGCTTCTTGGTGTATTCTTCCGCCGAGATGGAATCGGTGAGGTTGAAGTATGAGAGGAGGAGGGAAATGGCTTCCGAAGCGGGGCGGCCTTGGAGTTGCATTTTTATGGGCCAGATCATGGGGCCGGCGTTGAGGGTGTGGAGGATGATGTTGTGGGCGAGGGTGTAGATGTCTTCTGTGTTTCTGGGAGTGTTTTTTAGTTCTTCACCTTCGAATTCCATCTTGTAACATGAAGGAAGTAGAGTTTTGACGGCATGGTAGGGGGTTCATATTCGTGGTTGCTTCAATTGCCTTGAAGATGGTCAGACTCACATAAGGAGGCCATCCATATCGAAGAGACATGCCCGAACGGGGGGGAAGCTTTAGATGACGTTAGCGGGGTAAGATGGAGGGGTAGGTGGGGCTGACTCTGTTTTGGGTGTTGCTGTCGCCATTATTGTTGGGTTCTGTATGAACTTTTTGATTCCTAGGACCTGGTTCTTTTGATTCGTGATGAGTTGAATTTTATGAGTGTAGGCTTGAGGTTCAAGGGAAGGCTCGAGTTGATGAATATTTCTGCGGGCGGTACCGGCCCAGAACAAACCAATCGGCGAGTGACTCAACGCTCTTGATAATTGATTTGAATTTCAGAAAATATAACTCATTTTATTTCTAAGGAGCATAGAAGAATTATCTTATCCTTATGCGGCGCTAGTAACTTCGTTGGAAAGTGAAAAGTACCACTGGTATATCATAATAGTGGTAGCGAATTTACAAGTGCATCGGTTATTGAATCAATACGTACTCGTGCAATAATAGAATAAATAAATATAGGCCCCAGAGAAGACTGAATGACTTCGCTTGAGATGAATAGAACAAACAAATAGACGCCCCTTTCTAGAGTCATAAGTCATAATTCGTAATCCCTACTACCAAAGGACCCTTAATTGGTGTTCCTATCACCAAAATTAATACAGGGTATTACTCAAATACCAATAGCCCGAGCCACGCCCAATATCCAGTCAAAAAGTGCATGTGCGCAAAGGAGTTCCAGCTCCCCTTTCCCATCGTCGCTAACAGTACATGGTTTGTACAATAATCAAACACCAGTATACACTGAAACTGCAGAGGTTTCCGCGACAGAAGCTGTCTCTTCTTCGGGTCTCGTTACTTTCATACAGAATTTCTTCCTCCTAGCTTTACTTTTCCGATCGACTTCCTCCCAATCGATCTTCCAATTCTGAATGCTTTGTGTTAAATCCTCGTCTTCGACCTCTTTAGGATATTGTACTTCAATGGCTTTTTGCTGGATGCGAAGAAATTGGAGCTCGCTTTGGTTGGCGTCAAAGTCTTCTTCCATCTCACTGATCCGGTATTCGAGAAACATAATTCGTTCCTTGGAATTTTCGAGTCGAGAGAGGAGGATATCGTGGATACGCTAAGCAATCATTAGTCCTGTCGCTTCCAAACCTAGTGAGTCTGATAACTCACGTCACTTTCCTCCTTTCGCTTTTGCAACTCTGAGACGCTGTTCGACAACTGAATAGCAAGACCCTCTGCTTCATGAGCAACTTTCTGGGCAATACTGGAACTCATATCATCCCCCCTTTTCGCTCGTTCTCTCCTTTTTGGATTTTTTAACTCAATACTCGGCGCCGGTTCCCAAACGGCCTCTCGATTCGTGTAGTCTCTCCCGTCAATCATATCATCGATCCCAAGCCCGATAACACTTGGACGTCTTGAGCGACTTGCTCCCGTCTTTATCAACCTCTCAATGTAGTCCACATCCCTATGGATTTTCGTTACGGTGTCATCGTCGACTGAACTATCCTGGTTGAGCCTTTGCACAATATCATTGAGTCGTTCGATAAGGATGGATTTGTTGTCTTCCGTAACATCATCGTGAGGAGAAGCTAGAGAGGTAGGATTGGTCGTCGGGGATGGGGATGGGGATCGCGCAAAACGAGGCGAGGTCGGGGAGGAGAACTGGGAGGAAAGTTGTCGAGTTATGCCCAGATTATATGACATTGTTGAGGGCATTGGTGATCCATACAGAGTTGTTTCGATGTCATGGAATCGAAAGGAGTTGACCTCGGAATGATGGATTGAGTGTTACTTGGTGCCAACCTTCATGGGCACCTGGGCAGGTACAACGAGGCTGGGAAAGTGGGGTCGGCAGGTGAAATGTTGGCAGGGATGTTGGCAGAACCAACCTGAACGACGATCTTGCTCCGTACTCCGTACATAGCGGTGAGTAGGGTAAGTATAAAAACCCAGGAAAAAATAGTAGAAAACCAACGCAAGACTGGAAAGAAAAATTGAAGTATTCTTTTTGTAGAATTCTTAGTGTAAATAGAAGAAGTGTCAGACTTCGATTTTGAGCTCCCTCAAGGCGGGGTAGCTTTCAGTTTGATCTCCTTGGCAAAACAAAGCGGGTGGCCGTCCCTCGGAGCTCAATTTATTCAGATCCAGGCTTTTGGTCAACTTTCTGACCACCTACCGTACAACCCAACTCAATACCTGTGCCACCTTTCGTCCTACTTCCCACGTATTCCACATCCGAGTCCCTGCGTTTTTCAAGAAGCTAGATTTCGAGACCAACAGAAATTATAAGATATCTGCAGAAATCTGTCACCATGGCGGCAAGTGTACGCGGATAGATGACTCCTCGATGCAAAGCGATCAATTGTTGACCATTGTATAGGAAGATTTCCTTCCAACGCTCAAGACCGTCCGAGAAGTCGTATCACAGTCCGCCGGGAAGCCAAATGCCCCAAATCTCGTCCCAATCTATGCCCAGATATCGTCTGAAGTCCTCACCCCATCTGGAGCATACCTGAAGATATCAAACCACTCCAAATCCGATTTCTCCTTCTTGTTTGAGAGTGCAAACACCGAAAAGGTGGGAAGATATAGCTTTGTGGGAGCTGGTCCTCGGAAAATACTGAAGACTGGAGAAGGTCATGGACCTGAGGTAGATCCCTTGCCAGCATTGGAGGAGGAGCTATCAAGGAGTCGAGTTGCAGAAGTCCCTGGGTTAGCATTACCACCATTGACGGGAGGGGCAATTGGGTATGTTGGATACGACTGTGTGCGATACTTCGAGCCCAAGACGAAAAGGCCTATGCAGGATGTGCTAAAGGTCCCGGAATCACTTTTCATGCTCTTTGACACAATTGTGGCCTTTGATCGATTTTACGACATTATAAAGGTTATCACGTATGTCCATGTACCAGAGGAGCCGAAAGATCTTGAATCAGCGTACGAAGATGCCCAACGAACAATCAATGAGCTTGTCGATGTTCTACGTTCCGAGCATACCCCGCTACCCCACCAACAACCAATTCAACCGAACCAAGAAGCCGTTTCAAACATTGGCCAGGAAGGTTATGAAAAACATGTCACGACGCTCAAAAAGCACATCATTGCTGGAGATATCATACAAGCTGTTCCATCTCAGCGTTTTGCCAGACCAACCTCACTACACCCGTTTAATGTTTATCGCAAACTACGAAATATCAATCCGTCGCCATATTTGTTCTACATCAACTGCAAAGACTTTCAAATTGTCGGCGCTTCTCCCGAACTTCTCGTAAAACGGGAGAATGGGCGAATTATTACTCATCCAATTGCTGGTACAGTAAAACGAGCACCAAATGATCCAATTCTCGACGCGAAACTCGCAGACGAACTTTCTAGTTCGCTTAAGGATAGAGCTGAACATGTCATGCTGGTTGATCTTGCAAGAAATGATGTTAATCGGGTGTGTGATCCCACCACAGTCAAAGTTGATCGCTTGATGGCTGTAGAAAAGTTTAGTCACGTGCAGCACCTGGTTTCACAAGTTTCTGGGGTCCTCCGGGCAGGGAAAACGCGATTTGATGCGTTTAGATCTATATTTCCTGCTGGAACCGTATCCGGGGCCCCAAAAGTCAAGGCTATGGAGCTTATTGCGGAGTTGGAGAGGGAGAAACGGGGTGTCTACGCAGGAGCTGTAGGATACTTTGGGTATGGAAGCGTTGACAAAGAAGGCAACGAGTTGGAAGGAGAAATGGATACTTGTATTGCGTTACGGACGATGCTCGTGAAGGATGGTATAGCGTATTTACAAGCTGGTTTGTTGGCCCTTTCCGACACTTAGTTGATTTGCTCCCAAGCTTACGATATACAGGCGGAGGTATTGTTTTCGACTCCGACCCTTACGATGAATACATCGAGACTATCAATAAGCTTAAAGCGAATACGACCACGATAGCTTTGGCCGAAGTACAGCACTTGAAGGAGCAGACAAATGCCAAGAATAGCTTATGACGAAGGTCAAGCTCAACGCAAATTCGAGAGGTGAAGGAATAATGCATATCCACGCTCCAGACAATGAGGTGAGATCATTACAATGAATTTATTGAATTTATAAGATGATCTACGGTAATAAAAAGTAGGGGTTATTGAGAATCGATACCCCTTTGTTAAGCGAGTTAGAGAAAGTCACTCCCAAAAACTTCGACTCGTAAGTTTTGAATCTCGTTCCATCGTCTTTTTTTTGACCTCATCATTGATTTGGACTACCAATATCTGTTTGAGGGCATTCAAATATTCCAAACTTCTCTTTCTTTAATATTTTGAAATTTCTAATGGCATTGCCCACCAAAGTGATGACAAAGATATGCCCCACTCGGAACTAGGATGGCCCTGGCCCGCCCCTCATCAACCCTATATCTATAAAACCTCATCTATCACTCATCATCCACTCCTCATCAAACAACACATCTTCCCCAAGGATACAAGTCGCGATCTCCATGAATCACAAACGTTTAAACTTTGAGATTCGCGGTTTTCGGCGGTACGGGTGGTCCTTCCAGAAGGATGACTGTTACCTACTCCCATGCGACCCTTGTTCGTTCAACCCCTCCATCATAGGAAATTATATTTCATGCCTACACTCTGGGGATGTCTCAACGTTCATTATCCAATCAGATGACCAGTTGAGTGCCGGATAGATATTCATGCATTGAATTTTAGTTTCTTTCATCCCAGCATTTTTTTACCTCAGTATGCTTGTCAGCAAGTCATTGTTTTCAAAACAGTCATCGAGCCATGCCTATTCGCGTTACCCACGTTCTACGGAAGTACATCCTTCCTATTCGAGCCCGAAGTAGGTAAATTAGCAACCCAATACATACCCATCACTCCTCGAATCTCTTATATCCCATCTCCCCCCACCACCTACCCGTCGTTCCCGTTTCTCCACCCATATTCTGGATAGCATACATATCGAAGTATAAAATCACTTCATTCCTTTCCATCGAAATCCTCTCGGTTTACATGTCCACCACACCATCGCGATCGAATCAACAGATCGCTCCCCTCACTGCACTTACCTCATCGAGTCTCTCGGAGTTAGTGACCGATCATCCTACCATCAAACGAATCAAAATGCTCGCTTATCTTAGAGGAGGCGGCGCTACTGCTGAACCGGCTACTTCAACGAAGGGGAAGGCGAAGGGCAAGGCGAAGGCGGACGCGAAGAAGAAGGGGAATACTAATAAGAAGTTACCTGGGACTCCGCCTGCTATTGTTGAGAGAAAGAGACCTGGGACTAGTGGGACAGAGTAGGTTTTCTCTTTTTCTTTTTCTTTCCTTTTTATTCCTATGACTGTGTTTTTGATTCATTCCTTGAATTTGCGGATTGGACTTTAAGAATTCAGATGGTTTCTGTGATAAACCACTGTTGTATCACGGGATATAAGAAACCAATACACCATTCCCATTTCTTGTACAAGTACTCGTAAATCCCACCTCCTAACACAAAACCCCCCAGACTAGACCTCCGCACCAACCGCATGGAAGCATCCAGCGCCTTCCTGGCGGCCCAAAAGGCCGAACGCGAGTACCGCGCCCGCCGACAAGCCAAGACCGCGCGCGACGACGTCGAAGTTGCAAAGGTGCATCTGGGCGAGGCAACGAAACAGTTCCGAGCTGGCGTCGCCGCTCTCACCACCGCGATCCGACTCATGCCCGCGGTGATGCGCGAGAAGAATTCGCAGATTAAGGAGCAGAGGGCGAGGGAGAAGGCGGAGCGGGAGGAGAGGGCGAGGAAGGCGAAGGAGGAGAGGGCGGAGAAGGCGAGGAAGGCGAGGAAGGCGGAGGAGGAGGAGGAGGAGAGGAAGAAGAAAGAGGAGGAGGAGGCTGCTGAGGAGGGGGGGG